ATTTGTAGTTGACAGTTTATTTGTTGCTTGGAAATAATCACTCAGGGAGCCACAGGAGACAAATTTAGAGAAACAAGTCTTTATCTCAGAGATAATAATTCCCACACTTCAGTGTGTAAAATGCATTTAGCATTGTGTGAAAGTTCTTAACATGACTTTCCGAACAGATCTTCAAAGACCGTGTATATGTAAACACCAGTTCCAGCTCCACCGCCAATCAGGATGCTCAGTAAACATGATAAGGATACTGGTTGTACATTCACTTCATCAGTGTTTAAGCAGAAAAATGCCATTAGACTGATTTCAGAAATACTAGTTGACACAAGTCAAAGTGGGGAAATGGAAATCTCCTCAGACTCTTGGGATTTTGATCTACTATAAGTTTTAAATTTATAAAATAGAAGGCTCGGGCTCATAAACATGTGAGCTCCTTCATCTTTCTCCCTTTCACCACTGATAGTCCTACATCTACTTAGTTTTCGGTTCTCAGCATAGTGTCACTTTTGTTATTGACAAATTAATCCACTTTTACACTCAACTAGGGAAACCGTCAAGTCAGCAGGAGCCACTAAGTGCTCAGCACTTCTGAAAATCAGGCGTCTTATTTACGAGCCCAGATATGGACGTGAAAATCTTGGCCTATCTACTTCCACAAATTGTAGTCACTTAGGGCTAAACCCTTATTATAGTACTCACTCTGAGGAGCCAGACCGGGTTGTGAACAGACGAGCAAGAGGTGAAAAGCCTCTCACATGTCAGGAGAATTTACAGAGCCCCACTATCGGGGCTATGCTAAATTAGCCTCCATGCTCCTTACATATACCTTCTGTGAGGTGAAGAACTTGCATGGTAGCAAATCCTTTGGCCTGTTCCTTTCCTTCCTCACATCCTGCACTCTGCCATGCAAATGGACTCTAATGAAGCCATTTGGTGGTTCCCAGATCAGGCACCCAGCCTTGTACTGATAAATTGCACTTACTCTGCTTCCAGGGACCCTTTGCAGCTCTGCATGAGAAAAGACAGGACCTGTCCCTTGAAGGCTACATCCATACTGCAGCCTTCTTTTGCAAAAGCTTATGCAAATGAAGTATGGAATAGAATATCACCATGCTTCATTTGCATAATTAATTAGCAGCCTTTTTGTGCAAGAGACTTTTGTGCAAAAAGTAGCTGTGTAAACCGCTCCTTTTTGCAAACTTCCCCCCTGCACAAGAACCCTTCTTCCTGAAAAATGAGGAAGAACAGCTTTTGTGCAAGAGGGGGATTTTGCGCAAAAAGGAGCCATCTACCGAGCTCCTTTTGCGCAAAAGCCTCTTGCACAAAAATTGCTGCTAATTAATTATGCAAATTAAGTGCAGCATTATTCTGCTCTGCACTTCTTTTGCATAAGCTTTTGCAGAAGAAGGCTGCAATGTCGATGTAGTTGGAGATAAATAAACACCCCTTCTGGCTGTGAAGTTATTACTACTAGCATGGTTGCTCTTGTGAGGTATAAGAATTTTAATAGCGTAAGTTAGGATATGCTTATAGCTCACACATGACTGACATGCAAGAGTAATGATGGTCATCCCAAATCATTCATATATATCCTACTAAGCCGTATCCCCAAAATTTACTCTAATATTTCAAACTCTTGAATGGCTTTGAACAAAAGCTGGAAAATTATCCTATCAAAGAACTGTTTCCTTTGTCGAAGCAAAAGACTTCTATGTGTTTAGGCAGCTAACAAACAGCTTTATTGATCAATAAGGCACAAAGTGAGCCAAACGTGACCCCGGCAGAACCGGGCCCATTCAAGCTGTTCAGCACAATCAATCCTAGTATTTTATACCCTTAACCAAACAAGTCTGATGTCAGGGCAAGAAATCAAAGCGAACTTCAAAGAGAAACTACTATCAGCATAGAAAGAAACAGGTATTAGGGAGTAGGAGCTTCAGCTCAAAATAGTTCATTAACTCATTCCAACATTTCATCCTCCTGGCTTTTCTCACATCGGTGAAGGTCCGTTCACTTTCTAGCGTACGTGCAAAAGCAGGCAACTTAAATGGCTTCTATGATACAAATGGCTTCTAGCTAAATATGAAATGGTTTCTACACCTTGTTACCACAAATTTGGAATTTTTGGTGTAAAAATTACTCCCTTCTTAGGGACTGAGGATTAACAAAACTCAGATCTGGATTGATGCTAGCTTTTGCATAAGCTTTATTTTCTGACATCTTATGGTACTAAAATTATAGACACATGAACTTCATACTTTGGGAGGATATTGGCCAGTACTAGCTGCTTCAGAGGAAGATGGAGGAAACCATGAAGAAATGAGTTATGGAATAAGATACCTACAGGAAAAGTTTCTTTTTAATCCCCAATAGTTAGAAGCTGGTTTATTTCTTCAAGAAAAAAGAGGTGACATTCCTTCAATACTCTTAACTTTGTTTAATCCTTACCATAATAATTGTGGATATTCTTTTAATCCAGAGAAATTATCCTTTTCAGAATCCTATTAAACTATACGCTCAATGGTATCTTGTAGTGAGTTCCAAAAGCTAATTATGTTGTATGAAAAATTATTTCTTGCATGAGTTTTAAATTTTACATTTTAATTTAATTCAATCTCCTTGTTCATGTATTAGAATAGAATTCCTGATTTACCTTCTCTAGATCATTTACAAATTTGTTTATAGCATGGGTTCCCAAACTGGGAGGCATGCCCCACTGGGGGGGGACATGAAGAAATTCTCGGGAAGGAGGGGCGTGAGGCAACCCAGCCTGTCCCCATCAATCCCCACCCACTGCTCAGCCACTGGGGCAGACTTCAAAATGGCCTCTTTAAAAGGGTAATGCCTGCTCTGCTCTCAAAAAGGCAATGCTCCTCAGTTCCTTTCTGCCCCCCTCAAATTTTGTTGCTGTTTTTTTTTGGGGGGGTGTCACGTTACTGAATTGGAGGGAAGCAGCCAGATCGCTGCTGCACCCCTAGGTGGGGGTGTTGGCCCCAGAAATTGGTATGGGGGGAGCCATGTGGGGTATTGAATGGGAGCTTATTGTTTGTTAATCTTATGTACACTATTTATGTGAGTATATAATGTCTATGTGTGTAGGTAGGAATCTGTAATCTGTGTGGAAGCTGAATATTTCTGTGAATGTGGTTAAGCATGGCTATGGACAGGCTGAGTAGCAAAGCCCTGTGGAACAATGACTCTCAATAGGCTATGGACACACCCAAAGAATGGGATTTGTCACCTGAGGGCAGCCAGCAGGAAACATAGAGATTGGCCTCTGACCAGGTGACTTGCTGCATACAAGAAGAGGCCAGGAAGGGAATAAAAGAGGCCATGTGGTCGAGGCCATTTTGTTCTCAGCTCAGCACTTCATCCCAGAGGCAGCACTGCAGGGATTGAAGAGCCCGGAAGACCTGTGAACCCATCCTGATCGTAGGATGTGCAATAAGGACTTTTAACCAGCAGCTGCAACATCTCTGCTAGAGCCTGCATCGAGAACTGGGAGATTCGGTGCATGTAACGTACTGTACTTTAATAACCTTACTCTCAGGCTTTTCTTTCTTGTAATAATAAACCTTTAGATATAGATTCTGAAGGATTGGCCCAGCGTGATTTGTGGGTAAGATCCAGAGGGTAAATTGACCAGGGATCTGTGGCTGGTTTCTTGGAACCGGACAGAACTTGTTCGGGGTAGGTGGGATTGGGTGCTAGGACCCCCCACCTGTGTATAGGCCCGGGGCCATCTGGGGCACAGATATTGCTGGGGTGTCAGAGGGGTTTTGCTCGGGAGGCTTCAGGCAGGCTGCTGAAGCGCTCTGTGAGACTGGTTTGTGGCCTATTTGGAGAGGTCGCCAGTCGGGCTGTAAGGAGCCCCGGATTTGAGCAATTCGCCCTGAGCGGATGCCCTTAGCTGTGCCCTGACACGGCCAGGTCTGTCACAGGGGGCGATGAGGGTTTCTCAAAAATCAAAAAGGGGACATGATGCCGAAAAGTTTGGGAACCATTGGTTTATAGTCTTTTCCCTTTTTGTCTGTATCTGCTGTAAAATAAATAGGCCCAGTTTTTTGCAATTGTTTATCGTATCAGAATTTTTCTCATCACATGTTTCTAAGCCTAATTTATTGTTGCTGATTTTTTTGATGTAGGACAAAGTAGGCCATATGAGCGTATACAATTGGTTTATACAATTGTGTTATATTTTCAGTAGCTTTCTCTATCCCATTTCTCATACATTTGGTTTGTTTATTTGACCACTGTTGCACACTGAGCAGTGTTTCACTGGTCTGGCTGCAATATACTGTTAATGGTAATTTAGAATCAAATAAGGTATATGAATTCTTCATATTTTTTCTGCCTATAGGTATTATTTTGTATTTGTCAGCACTGAATTTCATCTGCCATCATCTTGCCTTTGGTGAGGGGCTCTGATGTCCTTCACAGTTTTTTCAGGTCTTGACTAACTTCATTAATTTTGTGTCATCTACATATTTTGCTTTCTCACTGATCACTTTTTTCCAGCTCACTCATAAATGCATTAATATATTGAAATAATAAATAAATACAAACATCTAATTAGAAAATTATTGCTGGTATTTCACATTTATGAGTTGTAATTTTTCTCTTGTTCGGATATGCATATTTGTAGATGTATGTGTATGAATGGGGGCAGCATATATGACAGGGAGACATACGTATATGTCAAAGTAAGCAAATAAAATAGACTAATACAATTTCTTTAAACATGTTATACTGTTTTTTCAACCAAGTTTGAATCAAGCTTAATCTTCATTGCTAGTGTGGTTTGTAGGATATTCAGAGTAGATGGGACCATCAGTGAAAAATGAAAATTTAGCTCCAGATCATTTTGTCTACTTTCATATTACTCTGCATAGTTTGTTGAAGATGCAATTAATGAAATATGTTGATTTAAAAAAAAGTGGAAATAATTTCACAAGCAAATCAACTATTTCTTGGTTTCTTCTTTCTTTCTTTCTTTCCTCCAGTCGAGGACTCCTGCCCTGTAGATCATTTTGTGAGGCAGCAAAGGAAGGCTGTGAACCAGTTTTGGGGATGGTGAATTCTTCATGGCCAGAGTTCCTCAAATGTTCCCAGTTCCAAAACAGAACTGAAAATGACAACATCACAAGAGTCTGCTTCTCGCCATGGCAAGAAAGAGGAAAAAAATGTATGTTACTCTATTTTAATAATCAAATTATATATCTATATTAGGTTTTGCTCAGTAAAGCCTCTTCGGGTATATCTGGCCAAATTTGGCCAAAAAGATTGTGTGCATTAAGTCAGCTCCGTCCTAGTACTGACAGGACTGTGCACACACCATCTTCCAGAGTGACTCTGGTCCATTCCCAAGGGAGCCAGACACTGGAACTAAAGGCAGGGGTCTGTCTCACTTGTGTTCTTACTTGCACTTCTGAGTCAACACAGAGGACAGTGCCAGATTTGATTCAGGGAAGACTAGAGCTGGACAGGAAAAAGGGTAAACAGAGGTTGGACGGTCAAAGAGACAGGAACAAGGAATCAGAGTGGGGAGACTGAAAATGGCTGAAGAGGTGGCAGGGAGTTGGGACCGGATGCCAGTGGAGAACAGGAAATAATGGTAGATGGGGGATGACAGGAAGCTGGGGTGGGGTGGGAAAGAGAGATTGCATAAGAAGATAGGAAGGGAAAACTAGTACTGGCTGGACCAAGAGTTTAGGACTGAGACTATGAGATGGGAGATCCTTGGAAGGGGGAAATACTAGGGTTTGGACAGGGAGGCCAGAAAGGAGATGTCCTGTAGCGGGGCAAAAAGACTGGAACTGGGATGAAAAGCGTGAAGCTTGAAGACTAGGATTGGTTAGGCAAGGTAAACGGGGCTAGGATGAAAAGCCAGGTGTGAGGAAGAGAGAGGACAGGGACAGGTCATCAGCGTTAGTGCCTGTTATATTACGCTCTCCTTCAGAAATGGAACTGTTGGTGTCTGTCACACACACACACACACACACACACACACACACACACACACACACACACTGTGTTAAAAGAATGGTAAGTCTGTAAAGTCAAGCACTCAACAGTCAGGATGTGCCATAATTAAAGCCAGAATAAAATGTGTTAATGTACCGGTAATTAAATCTTGTATCATAACACATGGGAAAAGAGTAGTAATAGAAATGTAGCCGTGTTAGTCTGGTGTAGCTGAAGCAAAATACAGGACTATGTAGCACTTTAAAGACTAACAAGATGGTTTATTAGATGATGAGCTTTCGTGGGCCAGACCCACTTCCTCAGATCAAGTAGTGGAAGAAAATAGTCACAACCATATATACCAAAGGATACAATTTAAAAAAATGAACACATATGAAAAGGACAAATCAAATTTCAGAACAGAAGGAGGATGGGGGGGGGAATGTGAATGTCTGTGGGCTAATGATATTAGAGGGGATAATTGGGGAAGCTATCTTTGTAATGGGTAAGATAACTAGATCCTTTGTTTAAACTCAAATGTGGAGTGTCGAATTTTAGCATGAATGACAGTTCAGAGGATTCCCTTTCAAGTGCAGATTTGAAAGGTCTTTGTAGCAGGATGCAGGTAGTTAAGTTGTTGAGACAGTGTCCTTTCTGGTTGAAATGGCAAGAAACTGTTTTTTCTTTGTGATCCTGTCTGATATCTGTTTTGTGGGCATTGATCCTTTGGCGAAGTATCTGAGACGTTTGTCCAATGTACATAGCAGACAGACACTTTCGGCACATGATAGCATAAATTATATTTCTGGATTTATTATTTACAATTTTAACATGCTAGTTGTTAAAACAAAGGGTAATAACAATAGTGTTTTTGTTTGAGAATGGGAGTGTGCTTATCTTTATATGAAAAGATTTCATGTAGAATGTATGATGAGAAATTATATAATACTGAATATTTTTTCATTTTTAAGAGAATTTCTATTTTTGCTGTATCATCTGGCAGATAGTGTCTGACTATTTTGTGTGTTTTTTACACATTTTATTACTTAAAAAGATTCTAAAGGGCTGTCTATATACCTGACTGTCCTTCCATCTGGTTTGCCTGGAACACAAACACTTATCACAATGGCCAGTTACCAAACTTCCTGATTTATGTTTGTCAGGCAGAATGAGGAGGGCCAGGCAGACAAACATATTCATGTGAGAGATTATTATCTGTATCCCAGTCCTATTTTCCCATGATAGGTAAGACTGTAACTCACATCCAGGAAAATAGGGAAAAGGCAGAGAGAGTTACCACGTTGAGTCTCAGTTGCCAATAGGTATGGAAAATGAGAGACAAGCCCCAGCACCTGGGAGATGAAATTGGGGGGGAAAAAAAAAGAAAGCAAAATATGTCTCTGTAGCATGGAGACTTTTCTGTTTTAAAGACACAATGGCATCATCGCTTATAGATACACTAGTGCGACATAAACAACACAAGGATATCACAGTGCAATAATTTTATGGGTCTCTACAACTTCAAAAATCTTAAAACAATGAATAGTCTTGTATCATGCTGCAGGACTATTCATTGTTTTCGTTTTTTCAGACTAACATAGCTAATCCTCTGAAACTCTACAACTTTAGTCGAAGGAAAAAATGGCTTCTCATTTGTTAAATGCCATGATCAAATAAGGGAGAGTTTTAAGTCAAAATGATACTTTTAGTAGCAAATGTCACAAGGAAACATGGGTTTTTGAAAAATGTTAGCAAATTCTGTGGCTGGTATTGTATAGGTCTTGTGTGGAAAAGAAAGCATCACTGAAGAAAAGGCCACTTAGCACTATCACATTGTCTGGTGAACATCTCATTGTGCAGCCTGTTTTCTATTTTCCATTATTGTGCAGTATGTGCCCATCTAAAGGATGAAAGGGAAATTGACTGATATAAAAATACATAGCACTGGGAATTCAGCTGCAGAGGTTTGAATAAATATTTACATTAGTTTCACAGATGAGTTGAGTAAGTAAGGGAGTGAAGATCAAGTTTCCTCTCACTTGAGCCTTCTAACCTTCCCTCTATCCTGTCTGAATA